ATAATTCTAAATTTTAAAAATTTATTTTCCTTTTGTATTTGTATTTTAACTTCTAGATTATAAAATTTTTTTGAAAAAATTTAAGAAATGAAGAAGAAAAATTCAAGTTAAAGTAAACATGAAAATTAATAATTTACCATTTTAAACAAAAATAAAAACTAAAAGAATTAGCTAAGAAAAGTCGTTTCTTCTAGGTTATTTAATTTTTTTCAACTCGATTGAATTACTTAATTATTAATTTTCACGTTTCTTATTCCTTTTTTTTATAATCTAGAAATTAAGATACAAATGACCAACAAATTCATTTTTGAAAATTAATTTGTCATTTGTATATTAACTTTTAAATTATTGAAAAAAGGAATAAGAAACGTGAAAATTAATAATTAAATAATTCAATCGAGTTGAAAAAAATTAAATAACCTAGAAGAAACAACTTGTTTTAGCTAATTCTTTTAATTTTTCTTTTTTTTAAAATAGTAAATTATTAATTTTCATGTTTACTTTAACTCGAATTTTTCTTCTTCATTTCTTAAATTTTTTTAAAAAATTTTATAATCTAGAAGTTAAAATACAAAAGGAAAATAAATTTTTAAAATTTAAAATTATTCTACCAGTGTATACAAATTAGGAAGTATAAGAAGAAGAATTGTAAAAAAATAAAATAAAATTAACATATTAAAAAATTAAAAATAAAAAAATGATAAAAATACCCCTGAACAAAAAAACATGTGAAAAATGGATTTCCGTCACTATTTAACGGCCAAAATTAACAGAATAATCTGAAATGGATTAAAACTTTAGTAAGGTAACCTGTGTTACAACTAAATTTAATTGATGACCTAGAGTAGAAATATATTAAAGGTTGATGACTTGTTTTGAGGTTCACTCATTAATTGTGAAATACAATGTCTCAAAATGGTTCAGGGAAAAATGACCAAGATGGTCGGTCCGGTTTCTTCAATCCTAGACCTAAAGTATGTTTTCCTTCACCATGATCTAAATAACAAATTGCTGCGACGAAAAAATCATTTGGGTTCTTTGTAGGATCACAAGACAGAATTACTTTGGTGTAATTCAGAGGAGATGAATCGGCGAAAGGGACAAAAGAAATCCTACTTTGAATCTTGGCAGTTATTGCTTGAGTCAGGCTTGATCCTACTTTGAATAAGTTACTCTGTCCATCCCATCCCAATAAAAAGACGAAAGAAATCCGCTATTGTAGAAGAATTAGTAAAACAAAGTGTAAAGCGTGGGGACTAGTAACTAATTACACAAATTAACCTTCAACTTAGGATGAGAAAACCAAATGTGCAGCTGTCATATATTTTTTTTTACATATGAAGATCACAATTTCCAATTTATTAATTTTGTTGCCCATACGCTTCGAAAACCTTTTCAAAAGTAAATTCATTTACGCTAGTAAAGATTTGCTGAAAACACAGAAGTTGTATGGTGATTTCTCATTTCAGCCATCTGTAACAACAGTTCTATTTATTATTTTAAAATAAGACGAACTAGATATTACCCGCACGATGTGCGGGATAGATAGTTATATTTTAATTAATATTTATAGAAAAATATTAAAAAGTAAATAATAATTTATGAAATAATAAGTGTAAAATTTTGACTAAACAAAAATGTTATGACTTGATACATAAGAAAGAAATTATTAAAAATATATAAAATTTGATCTCTACAACTCAATAACAGGAAAAAAAGAAGAAAAAGAAAATAAGCTTTTGAGTTAAACGACCTTGTTATGTGCAGTAAGTTAATGAGTCTTTACTGCTAATAGTTACATATAACTGTTTTGTACAGAAAAAATAGTGGTAATCCAATGTCTTTGATTTTGTTAGACCCAACTTAGCACGATCACATAAAGTAGTAAAATTGAGTTACATCTTTTCATTCTAGAATTTGGTTTGGTGATAAATTCAGCCACTTATTAAAGCGCATAATAATAATAATAATAATAATAATAATAATAATAATAATAATAATAATAATAATAATAATAATAATAATAATAATAATCAACCAAGAATAGCTTTGTATACTACTGGATTCTTAAAGTTGCAATAACAATACCAGAAAATCAAAATAATTCAACTCAGAGTACTAACTAAATTTAAGGGGACGAAACAAAATTAAACATGAATTGCATATTATATTAGAATTTACTTTCTTCTTAATGTGAAGAAAACTCCGTCTACCATTTTAGAGGATGTGCCGGAACTCAATCAAGAAGACTGTTAATGATTTTGCTGCCTGAATGTCTATAGTCAAGCTCTTGCACATTATTTTTTTGAAGGATTCCGAAGTAGAGTATATCAACCAGACAAAATCTTGCTTTGAAAAGTTACAGATCCATCAACTAACTTGAATAGAAAATCAAATCAGCCTGCTCTGGTTATATTTCATGAAAGATATTTTTACTTTGACTACCAGATAAGCTGTTTAACTTTAACAACATGTGAAACTTTTAAGCAGCAATAATATACTCCCTCCCTCCCGAAATTATTGTCTAGTTTGGTTTTTCATTTTTAGTTCAAATTATACTAAAAGTGAAATTTCAAACTGGACAACAATTTTGGGGTAGAGGGAATGTATTACAACATATTCAAATTGCTTTTCTTTTCCCCTAACAATCGTACCCGTACACATATTCCATTTGATTGAGGAATGGAGTGAGAACTTGACACCCCCAATGCAAAACGATTAATTTGGGAGGGGGGATTTGATGGGGAATTTCATACTATTTGACCCATCTTCTCCTCACTAGATTTCAAATACAAATGTAAAACCATCACTTAATCTGGTGCATATTTTCATATTTGATGGCGGACACAAAACATCAAAGAAGCTAAATAATAGCTAAAAGAAAAATGTAAAATGGAACCATATAAAATATAAGGAACTGTACAACGGGTTTAAAGAGAATATTAACCAAATGAGACGATATACAAAACAAATATTTACTGATGCTCTCTAGTTCAGGCTCACTTTGAGATTGGCCTAGAATCACCAAATTATCAATACGTGAAAATTTGTCATACATTATTTGTGTCACGGTCAAGGTCATTCAAAGCAATTGCTAATGGAGTATCAATGCCTTTAAAGAGCATGCAATACGCTTAATAAGGACAATGCATAAATAGACTATGAATCAAGAAAAATGCAGGACATTTTTGTACCTGGTTAGCAAGGTTATATGAGTACACATTCATGGAGAGTAATATTAGTATTGATACCTTAGCTATGGCATCATCGAGACATGAGAGGATCTATAATCTTATTGATGTTGCCCTGAATTGTGCTTCTATTGTAGTTGAGTATGACAAATTAACTTGCAAAACACATTCTAGTTAATGATTTAATGGCATATGAATTTAGCAGCTTTAATAATAACAAAAAATAAAAATAGAAAAGCATAAACATTGCAAATGGTGGTAATGATGTAGTCATGTAAAAATACTATGTGAGTAATAGGATGACTGCAAAATAAAGAAATAAGAAAATGCAGCACCTTGCGCACCAAGGCAATGTAATACGGCAATTTTCTCTTTGACCTCTCGTAGAAAACTACTATAAACTGTTGGGAATGTTTTGTCTTTACCCTCCATAGTAGTTAATTAAGAAACCCGAAGAAAAACAAATTGATACATAGCAAACAATTCAAAAAAATAGATCAAAATGCATATAACGTGACAAATTTCATAATCCAGACAACGTTAAATAGAATAAATAACGACGTAAAATTGAAAGTTGGATAATTAATTACATCAATTTGGAAAAGTTGCCGTATAAGCCAATATAACAAAAGTAGCAGTTAACAAATCCACCAAATATAATTATTCATTGCCGACCTACAAAATACATAAAGAGATAAAATGCTCTTAACTTTAATATCAAATAACTAAGATAATGGGATAACAACAATTATTACTGTATTTCATTCAGAATGACATCAAATGGGGATTACAGGTTGCGTTGCAGGTGGCGGAGGTCCGGAGGAGGAGGCGCTTGAGTTGCTTTTTTAATTGGAAAATCAAATATTGAATCAGTGTAAAAAAGTAGATCCAAAAGTTTTCATTCAATCCAGAATGAGGGAGCATTTTCACTCTTTGCAATGACAAAAGTGCAGTGTCTAAGAACGGAATTGATAAGTACCTAAAGTTCATTAAATGGGAAATCTACATTTTACCTGTCCATCAATGAGAAGAGCTTCAGATCAAAACCTTCCATTTTGATTTTTTACTATGTGGGGTGAAAAAATAAATCAGCGATCAACCATTGGAAATCCACTCTTTAATCTTCAATACATGATCATCCTATAGTACAAAGACGTTGGAAGAGATCTATGGTACTGAATTTACATTGGTGATTTTTTTAAAACCACCATCGAGTGAATTTCCTTTTGAAAAAGATTAATCGATGACAAAATTTTTGGAAAGGAAGTTGGCAGACTCAAGAGTCAGTGGAGATGAATGGGAATCAGTTAGGGTTTAAAATTGAAAAAGATTTAGTGGTTAGAATGGATTGTAATGAGATCTAATAAGATACATATGCAAATACTTAACAATTATTCAATTATAACTGGGGATATTTTTTTTCCTTTTTAATAAATATGAAAATGTGAAAAATTGACACATAGGATTTGTCAAGCAGAAAACTGATTTCCTTTCTCTGAGTTTTCTATTATTAAGTTATATAAATATAAATGTTTTTTTTGTTATACACATTTTTTTATATTTCTTACTCTATCTTCCTAAAATAATTTCCGTATTTGGATTTTTTTTTACTTTAGTGTAAATTGTACTAAATAAAAATTCTTATCTAACAATCATTGGACGGGGAGTACAACTTATACTGTTTATATTATTTCTAGTACAACTTTCAAAACCTAATGTGAATTGCTTTTTTTTAAGATAGAGTGAGTGAATATTAATAAAAATCAAAACGAAAATGCTGCATGTACACAAAGTTAGTGGCCCAGCCCAGACGTTGATGCTCGCCAAACCGTAGAAAAAGGTTATTCAGCCCATAAATATTTGGGCTACCTTTAAATTACTACTATAAATTCAAGGTTCTCAAGCTTTCATCGGGGGTTTTAGCTATTTGTTTCTCCGTCGTCTCTACGTTCCCCGCTTCGTTGTCCCTTGCTTTCTCCGGCGACCTAGGTTTTCACTTTTCAGCATGAGTCGGTCAGGACAGCCTCCGGATCTGAAGAAGTAAGATTTTCTCGTAAATTTCCTCTGTATTGATTTCGAAGTAAATTTATCCTCTGTATTATTCTGTCCTTAATTAATTTGTACTCTTTTTTTTTTTTTTTGCTGGGGTTCAACGCAGGTACATGGACAAGAAGCTCCAGAGTAAGTTCTCTTCTTTGCCTTTTGTTATTGATTTGATTTTTTCCGTTATTATTTGTTGTTTGCTTTACTCTATGAAGCAAAGGTTTCGATTGCCCTTTTTTTTCATGGGAAAAACAAGTTGCTGAGAACTGAATATTGGTATCTTGTATTCAAGGCGTTCTAGTAATGCTTACGGGGTTGTTGGGTTTAGGTTATTTTTTACTGAGAATTGTTTCCAGCCGCACCGCGAAAATTGAACATGATTGAGCTTCAGAACAATGTTTATTTTGTTGATTTTTCAGTGCTGGAAGTTTCTTCCCTCCCTGGTTGTGTGAAGAAGCCCTTTGCTTTGTATTAAATTTGTTAGGAAGTAGCCTAGTAGTAGGTTGTCTTTCCCAATGTGCCCAAACTAAGGTGTTGTTTGCTAAAGGCTGAATTCTAGCTTTTTGGTTGTTTTCCCTGTGATATTGGAGGTGTTTTCGTGTGCAAAGACTGTTTAATGAGGGCATCGGTTTATCCTGACTAAAAACTTGTTGTATTGATACCGATAATTGTGGGTGATATATATATGCCAATTCCTTAATTCCCATCATGCACTTCTGGATATTTCTTCCTTTCGGAGATTTAGGTTTTGTTTGGCAGAATACTTTTGCAAATGTGTTTCGGTCTGTGTTATATTTTTGTGATTGAAATTAGATGGTGGCAGTGTGAGACTGAGGTTAAGGTCACTGTATTCTTGGTTTCTTCTAGATTCTGTCCCTGGTATCTTCATGCTTATTGTTCCATTTTGACATGAAAGATAGTTGCTTATGCCTGCATTGTTATGGTCTTGACTGATGTTTTCTGATTGCATCCTTTGAAATTCCTGGGTTTTGCAGTCAAGCTGAATGCCAATCGCATGGTGGTTGGGACTCTACGCGGTTTTGACCAGTTCATGAACTTGGTGGTTGACAACACTGTGGAAGTGAATGGCAATGAGAAGATCGATATTGGGATGGTGGTATGTGTCATTTGTTGTTGGATTTTTAGTGTTCATTTTAGGGTTACTTATTATCTTCTGTTTTGGCAGTTTTATTTGCTTTCTTCTATCTCCCTGGTTTTGCCAATTTTTTTTTTCTCTTTTCATTTATCCGCTTTTATTTCTCTCTTGTAGGTTATCAGAGGAAACAGTGTTGTCACTGTTGAAGCTCTTGAACCAGTTGGTAGAACGCAGTAGATGGTCTCAGGTTGGATTCATCTGGTTATGGAATGTTAATGAGTTTAATGATGTTGTGATGCGGTGAGTCTGTACTGTGAGCATTGCTTTTTGTTGCAATTGCATCTAGTAGTTTCAGGTCTGTATTTTTGCATATCTGTAAACCAGAATTTAACATTTTCTATTAACTGGGGAACCTCAAAATGACTTAGCCATATATTTATTGCCCATGCTTCTTCTAGCTTTGTTCTTGTTCTTGAAAGGAGGGCTTTAGATTAAAAAAATTCAGCTTAACCTTCAATCTCATCTCCGTCTCTCTCTGCCTGGGTTCAAAATCCAGGCGAAGCTGACCACCAAGTTAAGTTCTTCTATTTTGTGTTGATCACTCTGAACTGATGCTATGAATATAAAATGTATGCATGATATCTATGTTGCATCACTTAAAGCATTAATTGGCTCTTCCGGCCTCTAAAAGCTTAGAACTTAACCGTTCTTGTGTACTTGCTTAAAGGTTGTTGCTTTTTGACTAACTTGGTGCCCTCTGTCTGGAATTATCATATGGTGAGTTGTACCAGTAGTTTTAAACAATGAAATAGGATTTGACTTACATATGCACTTCACGATAAAAGCGAAAGATTTTTTGGTTTTGGAGAACATATTTCTCACATGGATTTCAAAGCGAGTGCCAAATATTTGTTTAGGAGGAGGGGGAATTGGGGAAGGAGATTGACCGATAACATTTGCAGCTAATTTGCTTGTTACATATTGAATGAAGAATACACATTCTGTACTCTTGAGTCCTCAAGTTTCGTTATATGAAATTATGTCCTTCAATTACTTCAAGTCATTCAATATGCGCCTTTGCCTTCTACACTACATCAAAGACGATTGGTGTGAAGCAATTCATAATTTATGGCCATTTTGTGCAGGGGCACCCAATTTACTTAGAGAAAAATGAATCACAAACTCTTGCAATGAGCGGAAATGAAATAATATGCGCACGAGAGAAAATTACTCTAAGCACATGAATTTCAGCAGCAAGATATGAATGACAACAAATGCAACATAAAAGGAAATACAAAATTAATTTCTCTGTGACTCACTAGAGAAAAAGATTGATTACATTCTTTATACGAAAGAATACCACCCGTCTCTTTACCTTCAACTTCACGGGTACAACTATGAACTATTCATGTCTTCCATCTAACACGACATGACAGTTTGGATACAGGTTTTCTTTCACTATGTTTCGCTGATTGCCTACGAGCTTTCAACAATTGAATCTTGTTCCTTGAAGAACTTTTGGTATCTAAATCCGGAAAACATTGCCCCCCTATGATTTAACGGTGGAAGCATTGATATCATAAGGACAATGCATCTAAACTATATCATTTTTGAATTCTCTGGATACAGTTTATTTAATTTCTTACATAATTTTGTACAGTTTGTTAAAATTTCGCTTGTTTATTAGTCTTTTTCTCTCCATGGTTCTGCAAGGAATGCGATTTACAGTTTTTCACCTGGAAGAATTTCACATCAGAGAACGGCAAACACAATATAACCTGCACAAATCAGAATTTATGACACGGAAACTGAAGCGGCTATAAAATCTTACAGATAGAAGTTGTGTAGAAGAGAAATTTGAAGAAATTGATCTATCTGAGGTTGAGCTATATCGATGACCAATGGATGCGCAAGAGTTGACGAGTGTTTGAAATGCAACCCTGGCAGAATCATAAATCGTGAACTGACATCGGTATTAGGTATTAATGGAGCTTTGAAACAAAATCTGACTTTGTTTTTCCTCCATTTGAGTTGCTTTACTGTCCTCAGATGCATATATAAAATAAAATAATTGATGCCATCTTCAGCACACTAAAATACCATCGACGGGGAAAAGAAAAGTCTACCGGTGGGAGAGTTGGGTGGAATGATTAGGGCATTAGGATTGGGGATGGTTATTATTGGGGGTGGAAGGTTCGATTTTCACTATAGTCATCCAATTTTAAGAAAAAAAAATCTACCTTCAAATAAATTAAATGTCAATTGGACAATAAGAATATCAAATAATTTCTGGTTTGGTATACCTCGAGCCATATGCAGTTTGTCAATGGAGACAAATTAGATATTCTCTAACACTATTATGTAACACTACAATTAAACACGTGTATATATATATATATATATGTATGGAGAGTTTTCAATCGAACACATGTCGTAAAACTAGAAAGGTTAATCCACATGGTATAAAATTAGATAGCTAAATCCACATGTCGCAACCACACCACTCCATCATTTAATGATAATTTTTTAATGTAAAAATTGTAAATAAAACTAAATTAACTAAAAATTACAAAAGTAAAAAAAAAAAAAACAGAGAGAGAGAGAGTAAAAGTTATCTCCCTCAGCAAAATTCGATTCTCCCCCACACCCACCCACCACACGCTGGTGAAGAGAAACATAAAAAAAAATTTAAAAAATCAATTTGATATGTTTTTTTTTTTAAAAAAAAACCTCGATTTCCATAATGAAAAAGAAAAATTAATTTCTCTATATTCTATAGTTATGTTATTTCAGTACCCCCAACCACCACCACACGTTGATGAAGACAAACATAAAAGAAACTAAAAAAAAATCAATTTTTTTTAAAAAACCCGACATCCATAATGAAAAAATTAATTTACCTATCAATATTGATTCCATATTTATGTTATTTCACTTGGAGGTGCTTCGATTGTAAATTTTTTTAATGATAATATATTTTTTTTTCCCATTAACGGGCATGGTTATTTGTTGATTAAATTGTGTAAAAATTATAAAAGGAAAAAAATATAATAATAATACTATGAATATAATTATATATTAATCAACCAAAATTTTAATAATATAATAATATATTATATTATATATTATAAAATAACAATATAACAAATTATTACTAATAAATTAATAGAATAATAGTATAATATATTCATTATATTTCATATGATATAATGGTAAAAAGAAAAGTTAATATTATGACAACAAAGCAAAATGTAGAGATTAATACGGAGAAATTTTTCTAGAATGAGAAAAAGAATAAATGTCTTTGTGAGAGACAAATAGTAGAAGAAAAATATTTAAGAAATTCAAAAATAGTTATATGGAGGAAAAAATTATGTAGAGATTAAGAAAGATAAAAAATAATTAGCTTTAAAGAAAAATAAGGTAATTATTACAAGATTATCAAGAAATTAAGCTTTAAAGAGAAGTAATCAAATTTAGAAAAACAAAACAAAGACTATATAACAAAAAAAAAAAATTAAACATTATTTTATAGGAAAAACATACAAAGAAATTTTTTTTAAAAAAAAAGGGTCAAAAAAGGTATATAAAGGGATGGAAAATAGATAACTTTATAGAAATATAAAATGAAAAACTTTTCTGTTAGAGGGAGAATTTTTTTCTTTTTTTTGGTAATGTTGGGAACCCACTAAAGATAGGTAAATCCACGCCCACTGCAATAGCTTGCAAACCACAATGGAAGGTAAATCCACGTCCACTGCAATAGCTTGCAAACTACAATGGGAGGTAAACCACCCTAGGCAAGCCCGGGGTGACAAGTTCGGGTGCAAAATCGGGGTTCATTAGTGGGTTAGCCATAACAAGCCACTAGAGGTGCTAATAGGCAAGGTGAAAGCCAACCCCTTACTTTTTGTTGGAGTGGAGGATTGAATTCATGACCTCCTCTTGGAGTAAGGGTAGTTTTTGAACCAACTCCTCATTCGCATTAGAAGGAGAATTTAAAAGATATGACACAGGTAAAAATATTTATAGAAATCATTATGTAAAATTAAAAAAAATAATAAATGTCTTTATGAGAGACAAATAGTAAAAGAAAAATTTTTTAAAAATTAAAAAACAATTATATGGAGGAAAAAATTATGTAGAGATTAAGAAAGAAAAAAATAATTAAATTTTAAAGAAAAATATTAGTGAAAAATGAGGTAATTATTACAAAATTATCAAGAAATTAAGCTTTAAAGAGAAGTACTCAAATTTAGAAAAAACAAAGCAAAGACTATATAACCAAAAAAAAAATAAAAATAAAACATTATATTATAAGAAAAATATACGAAGAAATTTTCAAAAAAAAAAAGGTTCAAAAATGTATATAGGGATGGAAAATAGATAAATTTATGGAAATATAAAATGAAAAACCTTTATGTTAGAGTGAGAATTTAAAAGATATGACACGGGTAGAAATATTTATAGAAATCATTATGTAAAATGAAGTGAATATGTTTTAAAAATATAATACCATGAAATCAACAAAACGAAAAAAATGAATAATAAGTTACATTAGATGATTTCAAATATTGAAAATTATTCCAAATATACTTAAAACAACAAAACACATTGACTTTGAGAATTACACAATTTTAATTTATATCATTAATAATTATATTATTATATTTATATCTCACTCTATCGGATATGTCATATAATCGTTAGAACATTAAACTCACATATATCTTGAGCTACCCGCACAACGTGCGGGGTAAATACTAATATATATTAAAGGAGAGTTTTCAATCGGACACATGGTGGCGCAATATTAGATAGAGTAATCCACATGTCTAAAAATTAGATAGCCAAGTCCACATGTCACAACCACATTTCTCAATCATTTAATGGTTACTTTTTAAAGTAAAATCATGAATTTATAAATAAAATTAAATTTACTGGGATTTTAATTCCTATATCCAAACATGGAGCGGAAGCTGGCTCTCTTTCTACCCCTTTTCTTAAACGAAAAATTAACTATGGTGGTAAATTAGCAAGCACATAAGACAAGAACAAATTAATTTACCCCGCACATATAAAAACTTATGCAAAATATGCACATGCGTACTCATCAATATATAAACTAAAACAATTAATCTAGATGTAAAGAAAAGATGATGCTCATATTTGAAGATAATAAATTATAATTAGGTTAGTTATTGCCAAAAAAAGAAAAAAACAAAAACTACCGTTTTCATATTTGCATAAGAGTACCAAGAATAGTCATTAAAATACTTCTTCACGTTGCTAAACAAGCCATAAGCGACATGAAGTATTATCCTAAAATATTACTATACTAAATATATGATATAATTAGAATTTTATTAACTGCGCACATGATGTTAAATATAATAATATTTTCAATCATAGTAAATTATAAAACTAATTAGAATACAAATATACTAAGTTAGTATAATAAAATAATAATATTACCATATTATCCAATTATAATAATTATTAAACGACATATATATACTCTAAGATAGTATATTGTTACTAAATTATAATTTCATATTAGGAATTGGTAAATTATTAAAGTATAATATTAACTAATGTGGAATTGTGGCAGCTTGTGTGTATCATAATATTGCAGAAGGTTTGCACAGGAAAGAAGAACAGTAGAAGATAGATTCAAAAGTATAAGTCAAGAATTGATTTGGAGAGCTTAACAACGTTGTATAAAGCGTAAAGTAGCAGACATGAAGTATATAGATAGTCTTTGTATTCAAGCTAGAACATGGCAAAGTATAGTATACATGAAAGTAGATGGTACTGGATGTAAATAAAAATCTGGCTCAGTGGATTTTCTAAAGTTGACCTTTTACTAAAAAGTAAAATAAAATCACACAATTGAAATTTATATTATTAATGTTATTTTTTTTACATATATCACTCTGTCGGAAATGTCATATAACAATTAAATCATTAAACTCATATATAATTGAAAACAGTTATTTGAAAGAAAAAATTATGTAGAGTAAGAGAATATGAAAAAAAGAAACCGAGATTATAGTGAACATAAAATGATTATTACAAATTTTACAAGGGATGAAGTTTTAAGGAGATGCCATCAAATTTAGAAAAAAAAGAAGAAAAGTTAAGACGATGCAACCAAGAAAAAAAATGATTTAAACACTATATTATAGAAAATATACTAACAAACTTCTAAACAAAAGTCGAAAAAGCTATATAGAGAGATGGAAAATAAAGATAAGTGTATGATAAGAAATAATAACAAAACTTTCTGTAAGAAAGAGAGTTGGAAATATATGACAAGAGAAGAAATATTTAGAAAGATCATTAGAAAAAATTAAGAAGATGCTTTTAAAGAATATAAAGTTGATCAGAGAGTTCCATCTGACAAAACAGTTTCCATGGAATCCTACACTTGGAGATAAAGTATGTCAAAAAAAAAGTTATAATAGAAGAAAATGATAAGTATAGTTGTATAGCGATTGAGTGTCACATTTTCCGAATATGAATAATAAGCATAGGTACCATAAAAAGATAGATAATAAGTTAAATTGGATGATTTTAAACATTGAAATTTATTTTAAATGTAATTAAAATAACAAATACATTAACACTAAAAAGTATAAAATTGTAATTTATATCATTAATATTTATTTTCTTTACATTTCCATCGAAAATGTTACATATTTGTTAAATTATTAAATCCATATATATCTTGAAATACGCACAACGTGCGAGACAAATACTAGTATATATTAAAGCAGAGTTCTTAATCGACACGTGTCGTCCAGGGAGCAAGTTTAGCCAATTGTGCCACGTGTCGTCACCAAAATTCTCCTTTATTAAACAGTTAAAAGTTTATTAATAATACGTAAAATTATTAAATTGAATTAATTAATTAATCAAAAGTTAATTTCAAAAAAGTAAATATCATGTGTTTGGTAATTATTGACAAATATATGACATAATGAAACATTAATTATCAAATTAATAATTGTATTAAGAATACAGTTTGAAACTAAGTCTGGATACATTAAACGTAAGTTAATATTATTTTTCTGATAATTTTACTTGATATATTTTCCAAAAATTAAAAGATATTAGTTACCAAAAAAATTTTGTTACCAATAACTATATTACGAATACAATTCGAAACCAAGTCTACCTACATTAAACTTATGTTAATATTATTTCTTAGATGATTAGTATATTTTTCATAAATAAAAAGAGACTACTTACCAAAACAAAGAGATTATTTACCAAATAATTAAACGAACTAAGTTTGATTACATTAAAAATAAGTTAATGATATTTTTCTGATGATCTACCCTTGGGAAAATTTTCTATGGAAAGAATTTCAAACAATCGGCTTCAAAGGTAATTTTTCCATCGGTATGATTGATTATCGTCATGTCTTAATATATTTTGAACTTGAAGAAGATTACCAAAGATGTTGGATGAAGGGTTGGTGGAATTTTGATAATAATGTGATGCGAGTACTGAAATGGACAACCAGTTTCAATCAAAATATTAAATCCTCAATTGTGCCGGTTTGGGTTTCTTTTGAGGGTATGCCGGTGCACCGATTTAATGAAGAATATCTGCGTAAGTTAGCCGGCATAATTGGGAAACCCTTAAAAATTGATGTTCCCACTTTGAACATGTCAAGACCTTCGGTTGCAAGAGTGTGCGTGGAAGTGGATCTATTGAAAGACTTGCCGAAACGAATTCGTCTCGGAGTTGAAGGAAATACATACTTCCAGACGATTACGTATGAGAATCTTCCAGAGTATTGCACGGAATGCAGCAAAATTGGACACTCGGTGAAGAACTGTAAGCACACAAAAGAATGAAAAAGCAAGGTTGATGATTCCACAGAAACAAGGAATCAAAAACAGAACTCGGAAAAATTGGTGGTAACAACAGCTACTGAAAAGGTTCAAATTATGCCAAAGGAAACAGTAAAGCAGACGAAACATGTATGGAAGGCTAAGACCTCGAACCGGTAGGAAGACGAGTTGGAGAAAACACAAGATCATCATGGTCCATCCACCTCCGGCTTATCCCATGAAGAAAAACAAAGCGTCCCAGTTGATGTAATGGAGTGAAGTCCGTTGATCCACATTCAATCATCCGGGAAAAGAAAAATGACGAAGGAAAGGTTGGTATCAATTATTCAAGAAAATGATAAAGAACCATCACTCTTGGATTCTTGGGACATTGTGGAATTGAAAAATTTACAGGTGGAAGAGCAAAATGCAGAGAAACAGCGAGCTGTTTCTTCACAGCATGCTGTCCTGTCACAGCGCGCTGTTTTTTATCAACATATTGAAACGTCTTCTCGGTTTGAAGTCTTGGCTGATTCAGATAATACAATAAATGGGGACACGGAAGGAGATGATAAATTACAGGAGGACATTGATTCTGAGGTTGAAAGTGACGAAGGCATGAAAACGGAAAAATCTCATGAACAACCTCCTTCTTTTACCCACGATCAGATTTTGGTCTCTGTGGATGATTCGGAAATTGGAGGTAGTTCAGACCTCATCCATACTGAGGAAGCTTTCGTTTCTGTTTCGGATGGAGAACAAAGGAAGAAAAAGCGTGGACGTCCAAAAGGATCCAAAAATGGGGTAAACAATAACGGGAACGAAGGTGAAACTCGTCGCTCGGCGAGACTCCAACGTGACATTCCTTCCAAAGTTTAAAATGATAAATCAATTAATATGGAATGTAAGAGGTATAGGAAACAAGGCATCACAACGTAGACTGAAAAATTTAAAATCTATGCATTCTATTTCTTTTATTGTTCTTCTTGAGCCTATGTTGCAGGTGAATAAATTGGAGGAATTGAAGCAAAGTTTACACTTTGACAAAGCAATTTCTTCAATCACAGGAAAAATTTGGATCTTTTGGACTAATGATTTTGATGTTACGCTGTTGGGAGATTCTGAGCAAGCCTTGCATCTTGATGTTAAACATTTGCAATCATCGACGCAATTCCTCATCACTGCGGTCTATGGAAAATCTACAAGACAAGGCCGTAATGAGCTATGGAAAGAGCTTACACAATTTCAGAATCAGCACTTAGGAGATCCTTGGATGGTGGGTGGTGACTTCAATGTCATTCGTAATCTTGATGAATACTCTGGAAATTCTTAGCCGGATCGAGCCTCTATTGAAGTATTCAATCAATGGATAAATTCTTGTGACTTGACAGAGACTCAAACAATTGGAAGTGATTATACTTGGGTGGGAAATCGTCAAAATGGCCGGGTGTTAAAAAAATTGGATAGAATCTTGTAGACGGAGGAATGGCTTTCACTCTTTCCAATTTCCACGGTGCAGCATCTCAATAGGGCGTCCTCGGATCACTCCCCCTTGCTTCATCAATTTAATCACACCATGGCTCTTTCGGTTTCAGAAAATGTGGCTTCGGAGGCAATCTTTTCTAAGCATGGTGAAACAGAATTGGGATCAACCGGTACAAGGCTATGGTATGTATGCTTTCTTGGCAAAATTGCGGCGGTTAAAGGCTCATCTGAAGGAATGGAATAAGCTGGAATTTGGTGATGTATTTGAAAATTTACGGGCAGCGGAAGTTGAAGTCCAACTTAAAGAGGAAATATATGATGCTTCAGGTTCAACAATTGACCGAATTTCTCTTAATAAAGCTCAAGCAGATTTATTCCACAAGCTTCGGGAGCATGTTGATTTCTTGAGACAAAAAGCAAAGCTGAAATGGATGAAGGAGGGGGACGCAAATACGGCTTTCTTTCACGCTTCGTTGATGGAGAAAAGGGCGACACTAGGCATTCATAAAATTAAAGGACGCAGTGGCAATTGGCTTTCAGATAGAGAAGAGATCGAAAATGAAGCAGTCCATTTTTTCCAAATGCTTCTTACGAAGGAGCCAGAAAATGATCAAGAAGAAGCTACATCAAAAATGCTGAATTGCATTCCTAATACTATCACCTCGGAAGAAAATGGATCTTTAATACAACCAATTTCGATGGAGGAAATGAAAAATGCGGTTTTTAGTTTGGATCCAAGTAGTGCCCCGGGAATTGATGGCTTTGGAGGTGAATTTTATCGGCATTGTTGGAATATAATAAGTTCTGATTTGTTGTTAGTTTGTCAGGAGTTTATGGCAGGAGTTCCTATTCCTTGAGCGATTGCAAACACAACTATCACTTTGATCCCCAGAAAGGCTTCAAGCATATCTTTTGCAGACTTTCGGCCAATAAGTCTTTGCAAATTTGTTAATAAAGTTTTTACAAAGATTTTGACTGAAAGATTTAAGAAGGTATTGCCTCGTATAATATCTGAGGAGCAGTCAACTTTTTTACAAGGCAGAGATATAATAGATAACGTTCTCTTAACACAAGATCTCTGTCAATTCCTGAATAACAAGACAAGAGGGGGAAATTTGATTCTCAAGCTTGATATGATGAAGGCGTTCGATCGCGTTTCATGGAGATTCCTACGAAGGGTTATGGAGAAATTCGGGTTCTGTGATAGATTTGTATCACTGATAATGAATAATCTTAGGGATATTTGGTTCTCGATCTTACTGAATGGAAGTCCAGCAGGGTTCTTTAAAGCTTCAAGAGGTATAAAACAAGGAGACCCTCTTTCTCCAAACCTCTTCATTTTGGTATCGGAAGCATTGACTAGACGGCTTAACGCACTTATGGAAAGTGGTCGCATTGCAGCTTATAGCATTCCATCCAGATCCTTTGAGATATCACATCTATGTTTTGCCGATGATCTAATCATTTTCACGAAGGGTCTCAAAAAATCAAAGGAGCAATTGAACATCTTTTTCCAAGAACATGAAGAAGCCTCAGGTCAGAAAATCAACAAGCAAAAGAGTTTTTTTCTAGCTTCAGAAAAGAGCTCTCCGCAGCATATTGATATGATTAATAGAGTTCTTCAAATGCCGAGAGGGAAATTTCCTTTTGCATACTTGGGCTGCCATCTCTTTCAGGGACGGAAAAAGGCAAATTATTTTCAGCATCTACTTGACAACGTGGATGCCAAACTTTCAAATTGGAAAAATAAAATGTTGTCTGCCGAAGGAAGACTGCTTCTGATCAGACATGTTTTATCTGCTATACCTATGCATACTTTCTCAGCAATTGAGCCACCAAAAATGATCATAGAAGCTCTGGAAAAACGATGCCAGAATTTTCTTTGGGAGAAGAAGGAATATGTTGCGCATAGGCATTGGAAAGCTTGGAGAAAACTCACCTTCCCCACAGCTGAAAATGGACTCGGATTGCGGAAATTTCAAGATAATGTTGATGCTTTCTCGCTTAAGCTCTGGTGGAAATGGAAATGTAACAAAGGCGTTTGGGTGAGATTTGTAAAGTCTGTATCAAATACTTTAAGACAAAAGACAAGCTGGAGCAGGGTTCTAAAGGTTCATCATTTCACGAAGGAGAAATAAAAAATTTTGCTTGGAAAAGGGGAGGTTTCTTTTTGGTATGATGGATGGCTAAATCAAGGGCCTCTATGGTCCCTGAATTGGCTAAGTTGACCCGCCATTCAAGGACTTGCAGGTTAAAGAATTTTTCCTTAACAAAATTTTTTATCTGTAAGAACTCAGTGATTTTTTGCAGCCACATGTTTTGCAATTTCTAGAAAGAATGGATATCAATTTTTCTCAAGAGGAGGATCAACACATATGGAAGCCATCAGTGGTGGGGGATTTCACCCTAGCAACAGCTTACATGGAAATTAGGGAGAGGAAAACTGAAATCCCTATTATGAAATGTTTTTGGAATAAATTAATCCCCATAAAAATCTCTTTCTTTTTGTGGAGGTTGTTTAACCAACTTGTTGCTTTTCCAGAAGTTTTACAGAAGATGGGATTTACTTCTCACCCAACTAGATGCCCAATGTGCCTTCAAGCGGAGGAAAGTATACAACATGTTTTTATGAATGCCCACAAGTGAGAAAAGTTTGGAACTATTTTTTGGCCCTGTATGGAATATTTTTACCCTTTAGTGCAGGTTTATGGAGCTTTGTGCAAGCATGGTTTTCAATTGGGAACTTCTCATCAGCCAAAAAAGCAGTTATCATGATCACTCCAGCTTTCATTCTATGGGAAATTTGGAAAACACGAAATAAGTGTTTCTTTGAAGGTATTTTGTTTTCTTTTGACTCAATAACTCATGAAATTTGTACTAACGTTTCAATGATTTTGAGTATTCATGAGTTACGAGCAAGAACCCAGGCTGAGGTACATGAGCTAGAGGAAATTTTTCCAAGTTAAAGTCAAAGGAAGGAAGGAGAAAAAAGTCACCTTAATATCTTGGATACCACCGGAATATGGAAAGATCATTATCAACACTGATGGGTCAGTATTAGGAAGTCCAGGAGAATCGGGATGGGGTTTTGTGGCTAGAGGAGAACGAGGCATTTTCATCAAAGCAATAAGTAAACATATGGGAGAATCTACCAGCCTCTCAGCAGAAATAGAGGGTATTCTACAAGGACTTAAATTGGCAGAAAGAGAAGGATATCACAAGGTAAAGATTCAAACGGATAGCAAATTAGTGGTTCAATTGCTACACAATGGCAAGAAATTTCCCTGGAAGCACCATAACTCATTGCAGCAGATACTAAGTATTTTACAACGCACTGGGTTTCAAGTGCATCATATATTCAGAGAGATCAATGCTTTAGCAGATGGCCTATCAAAGCAAGCATCAAGAGGACAATCAATAGAGCATGACAGTGTGGCCAGCCTTCCTAGCTCCTTGCGAGGTATTTTATACTTGGATCAAAGGTCTTTCCCATATATTCGTATAGGTAGCTAGGTTAGATTAGGGAGCTGTCAAGGGATCCTTAGAAGATCTTTGTGAGACAGTCTCGTAGTTTAATTGATTGGAACTAGGAAACTGCTGTGGGGTTCTTGTATGATCTTTGTAAAGCAGTTTCTAGGAATTCTTCATTAGTCCATAAAAACAGAACTGTCAAGAGTTTTTTAGGGGAACTCATTGTAAGATAGTTCTTAGCTTAATTCAATTAGAAACCGTCATGGGATTTTTAGAAAATCTTTGTAAGACAGTTTCCTCAATTTGGGTAAGTCTTAAGAACTGCCTATGTACTTCCTCCTTCTAATTAATAAAATCGGGGGGATGCCCGCCAGGCACCGCCCTGGTTCTCTTAAAAAAAAATATATTTTTTTGATGATTCTATTTGATATCTTTTCCAAAAATAAAGATATATTAGTTACTAAAAACAAAAATATATTAGTTACCAAATAATTATTCTATGAATACAATTCGAAACTAAGTCTGGATAAATTAAACGTAGGTTCATATTAATTTTCAGATTATTCCATTTGATATATTTTTCAAAAATAAAAATAGATTATTTACTAAATAATTATACTACAAATACAATTTGTAACCAAGTCTGTATACATACAAAATAGGTTAATATTATTTTACAGATGATTCCATTTAATATATTTTTCAAAAAATAAAAAGAGATTAATTTTAAAAAATAAAAAGAGATTAATTACCAAATAATTATATTATGAATACAATTTAATGCCAAGTCTGGATACATTAAATGTAGATTAATATAATTTCTCAAATGATTTTATTTGATACATTTCCAAAAATAAAAAAAGATTAATTAATTACCAAAAATAAAGAGATTAGTTACTGAATCATTATATTACGAATACAATTCAAAACTAAGTCTAGATACATTAAATGTATGTAAGTATTATTTTAGATGATTCCATTTGATATATTTTCTATAAAAAAATAAATTAGTTACCAAAAATATAAAGATTAGTTACCAAATCATTATATTACGAATACAATTCAAAATCAAGTCTAGATACATTAAACATATGCTAATATTATTTTTAAAATAATTCCATCTTATATATTTTCCAAAAATAAAAAGAGTTTGGTTACAAAAAGTGAAAAGAGATTAGTTAGCAAATAATTATACTATGTATGTATACAATTGGATCCAAGTCCATATACATTAAACGTGAATTAACATTATTTTTCATAATTTCGTTTGAGGTATTTTTCAAAAGTAAAAAGAGATTACTTATCAAATATTATATTTTGAATACAATTCGAACCAAATCTAGATATATTAAACGTAGGTTAATATAATTTCTCAGA